CGCGATGCGAGAAAACCAGTTTAACCGGTACTACAATAGACGAGTACAAATACCGCGTGATATTTGTACTCGTCTATGGCGTTATTTGTACTCGTCTAGGTGTAGTTGGATAATAATCAGCGATACTACACAACAAAACGTCTAATAAGATATATTTACTTTGTTTCTAAAAGCTTTAGGCAGTGTATTTTTATTCTTTTTAAAGTCATCCGCCTGTTGGACGTGGATCTTTAATTACACTAGAATAGACTCCGCGTTAAAGCTAATTTGGCTCCAAAACGGTCAGTTATCATGGTTTCTAGGGGACTGCGCGCGTTGGGCCGTCAACTACTCTATTATCGATAAATTATTGATTCTATAGTTCAGATTGTTTTAAATATTTTTCTTTTGTCGTTGAGATACCCTGTAAATACACGTCCGCTCCATTCTTGCACACGTCATCATACCTTAGGTTGCCTAAATTTCAGTCTAATTTTGTAACGCCTCTAAAAACATTTGTCTCCCAAAATTGTGTTGATCGATTTTGAAAATTAATGCAAACTAACATGGCATTCTGAAATTTGTCAGAAACAAATGTTTTCTCCGATTCCGCCAGAAAATCAAGGTCTAGGCCGACTTAACAATTCATCATTGTAATTTGACATCAGCCTTGCGGTAAAGCCACTTAGCTAATTAGACGGATCACATTTTGGGAACGAGACAATCAGTGCAGTTTTATTTTTTCCAGAAAGAAGCCATTAGATAAGTCTGTTTTAACCAATACCTCTAAGAAGGAGACCCCTTCGTTTTCATTGCGCTTACTTTGAATGTTTTTTGTAGCACGTTGCCATTGAAGGATAGTCTGCTCAGTATTTTTAGCTTAAGATATTTTTTAAAGGTTATGCGTTTTGAAAACTCCCTTCAGACTCACAGTACAGCGAAAATATCGCAATAGCGATGACTCAAAGAGCGCACCACGCATCGCCCGATCAAGATACGATTTTTGACAACAGACACCTCTACTGGCCCATGTTCTCCTCGTGAACGCAGACTCCCAAATTGAAAACTTTTCTTTTTTTTATATGTGCACGATCCTTCGCAGTAAAGCACTATTTAAGCAATAGTGAAAATCAGACCTGAAAAAAATTCAGGCCTGTACGGGATTCGAACCACTGACCTCTGCGATACTAGTGCAGCGCTCTACCAATTGAGCTAAC